GGTGCGCGGCGAGGGCCGGCTGTGCACTGCTTGCGTGCGGCTGTGCGGGGGGCTGCGCCTCCCCGTGCGCGGTGCGGTCGAGGTTTGCTGAAAGGCTGTTACCAGCAGTCTCTAGAGCTGGGATTTGCAGTCAGCCTCCCTCCGTTATCTGCCGAGGCCCAACTCTTTAGCTTTTCAGTTCAAATTCATCTCCCTTCTTCCCGTGGGAGTGATTTTTTTTTTTTTAAATGGGGGGCGGATAGTTTTTAGTTTGCAGTCTTGCCAGGGAACAAACGTACCACGCTGTAACTAACATTTATTCTCGTGTCTAGACCTGATGGAGAATGTGATACGCAAACGGGGTTTATCAGTTTCAGAAGTATGTGCTGAAGAAAGCACTTAGGGACTGTTGAAACTTTTGAGTCTTCCCTGGACCAACATCCAGGACAGCCTTGAAACAGAGGCTGGGGAACTGGGAAGGAGTCAGTTGCTTACAACTATAACAGGCTCACTAATGGCAAAGCAGGAAGGTAGGCAGAAAATGTCATGGAGGAAAAGGAAGTGCTCCAAAAATTCTGATTATTCACTCATTATTGCACCCATGAAAATGGGCCACATTCTGTGTCGGCATGTCAGCAGGCAGATAGGCATGAAAAGCTGCCAGGGAGATCTGTGCTCCTTGCTGTGTTAAGAGAGACTCTTCCCCTCTCTGGGAGAGGCAGCTAAATTTTTTCCAAATTTGATTAATTCCCTGGGATTTCACAGGGGCCGTGTGCTGCTTCACAAGCTCTTGCTGATTTTCCTCTTCTAACTCCCCCTGGCTCCAGTGGGGAAATACTGTCTGGTGCTCTACCTGGGCATGGTTGACGGAGGAGCCAACTGGTAACCTCCTTTTCCAGACGTTACCCCAACTTGTACCACCTGAGGAACGGATCTCACAAAGTGTCCTAAACATTACCTGGAGTGACTAGGGACAAGCTCAGTCTGCTCCTGCCTTTCTGTCTGCAGGTGGTGGGGACAAGCACATGGCTGCTCCTTCCTTATTAGGACCCTGTGGAAACTACTGCCTGAGACCATCCCAAATTTTTGAAACTGCAGGCTGTTATCAGCCCTGAATTTCTCACAGATTTCTTGATGCTGAGAATATTGTAAAGACAATGTCGTTTTGTGCATCCCTGCCATAGCATTTTGGATCACTGTTTGGAGGCTACATACCTGTGGCAGTAGTTACCTTTATTAACTTGCAGATTACATTCCCGAAAGATTTTCTAGTGATGAGTTTCTCAGTATAGGAACCGAAGGCTGTGAATGACAGGCTTGCTTTTTTAGTTAAGTAAGTACTTGGAAAATATTCTTGTCCATAGTACCCTTGTCACCAGAAATCCTTGGACAGCAGTTTGGAAACCACTGGTCTAGGCTAGTACAATTTAAAAAAAAACCCATGGCACTGCAGGAGGAGGAACCACAAGGTGGCAATCTCTCTCCGTACTTCTACTGGCAAAATAAACCCCTGGCAAAAAAATCTCGGACAGTAACTGTGTAAAGCTGCAGAGACGGTTGGTCATGTCTTGTATCTTCCAGAGTCGTGGCAACATTCGTTTTGATGCTGGGTTTTCTCTCCTGAACGCTTTTCCCTTCAGGATGAAACTTTCAGGCTCGAAGTGGTGGCACTGGAGGCTGCTCTTGGCTCGCTTTTCCATCCTTTGCCCCAAAATGGGCACCAGATGTTGCTTGTTAGATTGCTAACTACCAGCACTGCTTGCGTGCATGCTGGCAGAGCTAGTGTGTGCTTGGAGAGAAAGTTTCCTCCTTCACTGGAGGCACTATCTGGTTCAGAGTATTGCTAACCTCACGTTATATTAATGTACAATACAACAGTTGCGTCGGGATCCTGCTTCATGCACTGAGATGCCTCAGCGGGAGTAAAATAACCTGGATGTTAGGACTAGGCAGTGACCTGTAGGTTGAGTGTGGCATATGGTCTCGAGGGGACTGCAAAGCTGAGTGACAATAGCTCCACTCCCAAAAAGATGTGGCCAGAGGGTATAAAGACGCAGAAGAGAAATAATGCTCAGTTTGGAGTGGAGCTGCCCTGGTCCTGCAGTATCAAACACCATCTGTTGCGATGAGCTCCATCTCGATCAGGACATAGTTGTGTTCTTGCCAGATGTTAGCTTACATGTGCTACATGTAAAAGTAAACTGGTGCGAAAGCTGTGGTCTGATGTGCTTTCAGTAGGATTTGCCCTGCATAAGTCACGACGTGCTAGCCAGCCTCTCGCTGAGAGGACGCACTCCAGAAGTTGCAGGTGTGTGGCTGGAGTGTGTTCAATGATTCAAGATAGGAAATATCTTCCAAAGCTCCAAATAAGACAAAACAAACTGAGCTTTAGCACATGCTCAATTGATTGAGTCCTTGGCAAAGTATGACATGAATTTGCAAGGCTCTCACTGAGACCTGTCCCAGCTGTATCCTGCCTGGTGAGTCCTTCAGCAAGCACGGCACGGCTGTCCTTGTTTTCTTCTTATACCTTGTCTCCTTCTTTTACCTGTTCTCCCCTTAGGACATTGCTCTCCAGTTAGGAATAATAACCTGCTTCCCGCTCACCAGGACTGCTCAGGTTCTGCTTTACACCGTGTCTGCCACCACTGAGCTCCCTCTGCGGCTTCTGTGTTGCAGCCTGCAACGTCCACGTCCCCTGCCAGTGGTGATATCTCTGATCGTGGCTGTCCTCTTCCAGCTCTGACTGTGCAGGTCCAGGCAGGACCTGGAGGAGGCGGGAAGCGTGGACATGAGGAGTTTTGTAAAGTCCCTTCACATCACCTTGACTTTAAGGTCTGAAGCCAGATTCCCAGAGGCTGCAGGTTGCAATTCGCTTTCTTCCTGGTTGATGGGAGGCCAGGGGGTCTGCTGTCTGCTGGTCCTCTAGAAAAGGGCCAGGAGCCACCGGGGACTGCTGGTGTGGATAGAAATGTTAGCGGTCCAAGTCGTGATGGGAAACAGAAGGAGTAAAGAAAATCTGGAGTTCCGC